TACCAGGTGCAGGGTCTGCGGGCTGGGTGCTGGCAGGCAACTGGCACAAGCACTGTAGCCAGACCGTGCCCCTTTAAAGGCTCCGGGGCCGGGAGGGAGGCAGAAGAGTTTCCCTGGTTTGGCCCAGAGTGGCCACCAGTGCAACCTGGGGAGGGCTAGCCTCCCACTAGTTCGAATTAAGAGGCTGCACAGCCCTTAATTCGAACTACTTAATTCGAACTAGGCCTTACTCCTCGTAGAATGAGGTTTACCTAGTTCGAATTAAGCGCTCCACTAGTTCGATTTAAACTCGAACTAGCGGTTTGTATGTGTAGCCCCTATTAAAGTTAATTCGAACTAACGGATGTTAGTTCTAATTAACTTTGTAGTGTAGACATACCCTTACCCTTTTTATGACCTTGAATGATCCTTGCCACAGGGCCAGCAGTTTTGACTTCAGGGTTGGCAGCAAGAACAAACCCTCTCATTGGGTTTAAATTTTCACATTCTGGCCCATTGTTATCAGCCTTTTCCTGGTTCTGAGATTTCAGCACACTCTCCCACAACAAACCTGCAGGGGCTCCAAGTTTTCCCTCTGACAGAACATGTATTGTATCACGGTTGTTCCTGGGCATGCCTCTTCCCATGCCTTGTGGAGGAGATCCAGGATCCAGTGGAGTTGCCTCCCATATGCCAGCTCCAGTATTATAATGGGGATCTGAGGCCTTGGCCATCCATCCAGTTCATCAACTGAATTCCAAATTAACAGAGTACAACATGATTTACAGCCTAACTCCCCCACAGAAGAAAAGGTCTGCAACCCATCTCTGGTTCCCGCGAACGGCTCAGGGCTTATCATGTCTCTACCCTCTCTCCTCCCCAGTAGAGGAAAAAGGGGTCTAGGTCCCTTCCATTAAATGGGTGGGTAGCATGGGAGCCTGGGCCCTTCCTCTCCAGTGAGCATACAGCCTCACCCATGATCCTCCAGATATTAGAGTAAAGGGGTCTGCAGTCTTAGCAAAGGCTGGCCCCTGCTCTCAGGCCTGGGGCAGCTGCTGCTAGCACAATCTCTCCTGCAGCCAAGATGTCTGCTGCACCCTTCTTCAGCATCTCCCCAGGTCAGTCTCTCCTCTGTCTCATTCTGGGAGTTGGTGCGTCAGTTCAAAGGTGCTTCCCCCAGCCACATGGGAGGGGGAAGTATGTGGCTCTGGCTCACTCATATCAGTGGAGCTGTCAATCCACTCCCCTTGCTCAAAAATCCACTCTGTGCTCAGGCCTGTCAGGGGGTTTGGTCTGTTGGCCTCCTTCCCCCTTGCTGGGAGCCTGTCCCTGGATGACTCTCTAGCAATCTACGGACTGGAGTTCCTTTCTCCTGCCTGCTCGCTCCTCCTTAGCAGTCTTGCCCTCTGTGTCCCAGCCCTTTGATCTTCCCAGCTGCTGTTAGCCTGTTAGTAGATGGCAATGCCTGGATTAACCCTTTGGTTTCCGAGCTACCATGCAGGCACATATCCCCCATGACAGAGTTCCTTTAAAACTCTTCCTCCAGCTGGAGCAGGTTTTGCAAGGGCAGTGGAGCAGAATCCCAGTGGCCCAGGCCTGCTTCTCTAACCTCTTCTGGCCCAGTGTGGGGTTCTACATCTCATTAGGCCCCCTAAAATGGGCCCCTAAAGAGCTTCAGGCACCAGGTGACTGGATCAGATGGAGTGGAGCTAGAGCAGTGTTTCTTAAACTTTTTAAGACAGAGGAACACCAAACAATATTTTTTTTATGAGGAACACCAAGGATTTTTTGTTGAGCAAAAAAAAGGTCACCTGCCCCTTTAAGGGTGGCCATTTTGAACTCTGTTCTCCACGGCACACCTCCAACTGCCTCACAGCACACCAGTGTGACACGGATCACAGTTTAAGAAACACTGAGCTAGAGTATCACCTTGGTTGTGATCTCCTCCTATCTAAAGAGAATAAGGACATAGAGACTTCCCCCAGAAATCAGGGAGGATTAATGGCAACTGTTACCCTGGAGTAGACTTGTCTTCCTCTATAGAGACCCCCTTCCCCCACAGTGCCCGACACTCTCCTCCCATTGTAGGAGGAGCTCCTGCCTCCATTCCCTCCATCTCCTTATGATAGCTGTCCCTTAGCTGCTTCTCCTTGTCAGATTTCTCCATCTGGTTGTGGTGGCTGTATTCTTGCATTCTCGTTGAGTTGTATCACTGGCCCTACAGAATAGCAGAGTTCCCTACAGTGGAAGGAGTATCCTTGGTGCCTGGGGAGGAGAGCTGATCCTAAATGGAGTAGGGGGAGAAGGGGAAAGAGACAGACTCTGACCCCAGCTGGGGTCAATCTCAGGGTACGTCTAGACTACCGCATTTTGTCAACGGAAGTTTTGTCGACAGATACTGTCGACAAAACTTCCGTCGACAAAGAGCATCCAGACACATTGAGTTCTGTCGACAAAGCAAGCTGCTTTGTCGACAGAACTCCGTAGTCTGGATGCAATGTTACAGGCAATAACACCTTCTGTCGACAGAGTTCTGTCGACAGAAGGTGTTATGCCTCGTAAAATGAATTATGTCGACAGAACTCAGCGGTAGTGTAGACGCTGGTATAGTTTTGTCGACAAAAGTCCACTTTTGTCGACAAAACTAGGTAGTCTAGACACACCCTCAGAGAATATGGTGAGTTTCAACAGGACTCCCATTACCCAATGGGGGACAGTCTCAGATGCGAGATGGATTATTTCTTCGCCAGTCTTGTTGCCTGGCTTCTGTGAGTGTCACTTTTATCAGGTCCCATTTTCTGTCTGGGTTTCCTTACCTCTGGTGCAGCAGCTGTTTGTAAAGCTGGTAAATCCCCTCCCTGGCCAGCTGGTCGATGTCCTTGGTGAGTCACTGATGGACAGTCACAGCTAAGCCATCAGTTCCCTAGTTTGGGGAATTGTGCTGAGTTCTAATGGAAGGATAGGAGAGGGGGCTCCATCAGCATTCTACTGTAAGCTGCCAAATTCCACTGGGCCAGGAGTCTTTCTCCCCCAAGACTCTCTGCTGGAGGCACTGGGAAGAGGAGCTAGTGCTAGACCCTCAGCTTCTGGTTGCCCCCGAGGAATCCTGGAGATAAGCAATGTGGGCAGGGTCCTCCATGGAGGCAACTTGCACCCCCAGCTGCTACAGGAGGACAAGCAGGGACTCAAGGTCAGGCATGAACCTCGTTGGAGCGGGGACTGGAACATGGTCCCCTAAAAGTCCCAGGGTTTCCACTGAAGCAAGCAAAGATGAACTTGACTCAAGTCTATCTCATTCCCTGCTCTGACTCTTCCTTCCCAAAGGGGAACACTCCCAACCCACTGCCCCTGCAGGTCCTACAGCTTGTTGGAGCCAGCCTACCTATGCCTGGCATCAGAAAGCTAGGGACAGAGGTCACTTACATCAAATTCAGAGGAGGGGATGGTGAATCTGAATGGGGCTCTGCTGCTTCTTATGGCCTTGGCTTTCTCCTGGGGCACTCTGGATCTTATGCAGAAGCTGACACACTGTGTGGGAAGGAGGCAGGTCAGGATCATTAGGCAGGGGTGTGTGCTGTGCAAATGAGCCCACCTCTACCCCCAGGCCTGAGGCATTGTGCTCAAGGTGGAATATCTGATTCACTGATCATGGATTTTGAGACAATTTGTCTTTGTCTCTCTAGACGAGGACAATACTCAGTGTCCGGGCTGGTCCCATCCTTTCTGAACTTCTGATACATGAACAGCTCATCAGGGTGGAGACAGACCCTTTGCACCTCGCTGGCTTGAAAGCCCTTGGTCAGAGGAAGGGAGTGACTGAGGACAATTCCCTTCCTTCCACCCAAATTTCAGTGCCGGTAGAAGAGAAGAGTTGATTTCCTTTGGGCCCACCTCGTTGTCTAGGAAGGAGTCTTCTATGAGCACCATCTCCTGGATCCCATGGCAGGAGCAGGGGAGGTTGGGCAAGGGGGTGGGGCATTTGAGATTCTCATTGCCAACCAGGGCCCTGACTTGAAGTTACATCTCCTTTTCCTATCCCTGAAGGAAGAAGGGCCCAACATAGCACTGTCCTTAGTGCCCTGATCAAGGATAGTCTACTGGGATGCGGGTAGGAGAACAGCCTGGAAAATGGATTTTCAGTCTTCCCTTTCCAATTCCCTCTAGTCCCTCCAGATCAAATTCATCTCCAAGATGTATTGGATGCTGATCCCCTAGATGTTTTGGAGCCTGTCTGTGTCTGGGGACTCTGCCAGCAGGTTCCTCAGCATAGTATGCCTGAGGTCAGACAAAGCCTTGTGCAGAGCCGGCAAAGAAAGGGTCGGACATGGGTCACAATTGGGAAATTGGAAAACTTCTCCTCCCTGTCAATAGCATTCTGTTTGGCCAACCAGCATTGAGACTCTAGAAAGTGGGGCGGCTGAGAGGTCTCACCACATTTCCAAAAGGATGGCCCAGGTCACCACCAGAAGGGATTGGTCTCCACGCAATTCCAGCCCCATTTATTCCAGCCATAAAGGGAAGGGAGAGTGTGTTTGAGGTTGCCCCTGCCTTGCATCTCTCACCTCCCTGGCTGATGTCAGGGTCTCTCTGTGAGGTCACCACCACCCCACCACCTTTCCCCAATAGGCTGAGGTCCTGCAAGAGGCCTTTGTGATGTCACTGCCACATCCACCCCTCCCCAGCAAGGCCCATGTCCTGCCCATAGCCAGCCCCTTTGGGGGGAAGGCTGAGCCTGAGGCTAATCAGAGGCAATCAAGGGAACAATGGCAGGCTCTCAGTCCCAACTGCCACAGAAGCTGAAACTGAAACTGCTAGCACTCCCTGGAATCAGACTCAATTCACACTTCAAACTGTAAAATTCAAACAGTCAGGCACACACACACACTCACACCACAGCTTGTACTCTCACCGGGTAGCCTCTTCGGCGGTGGGGGCGCTTTGCTCTCCCTCTTCAACTCCCCTGTCTGCAGTCCCCTGTCCGCTTCGCTCCCCTGGTCGCACTGCTCTGGCTTTTTAAAGCCTGCTTGCCTAGGTCAGGCCTGCCCCCTTCTGAGTCACACAGGGGAAGGCTGAGCCTGAGGCTAATCAGAGGCAATCAAGGGAACAATGGCAGGCTCTCAGTCCCAACTGCCACAGAAGCTGAAACTGAAACTGCTAGCACTCCCTGGAATCAGACTCAATTCACACTTCAAACTGTAAAATTCAAACAGTCAGGCACACACACACACTCACACCACAGCTTGTACTCTCACCGGGTAGCCTCTTCGGCGGTGGGGGCGCTTTGCTCTCCCTCTTCAACTCCCCTGTCTGCAGTCCCCTGTCCGCTTCGCTCCCCTGGTCGCACTGCTCTGGCTTTTTAAAGCCTGCTTGCCTAGGTCAGGCCTGCCCCCTTCTGAGTCACACAGGGGAAGGCTGAGCCTGAGGCTAATCAGAGGCAATCAAGGGAACAATGGCAGGCTCTCAGTCCCAACTGCCACAGAAGCTGAAACTGAAACTGCTAGCACTCCCTGGAATCAGACTCAATTCACACTTCAAACTGTAAAATTCAAACAGTCAGGCACACACACACACTCACACCACAGCTTGTACTCTCACCGGGTAGCCTCTTCGGCGGTGGGGGCGCTTTGCTCTCCCTCTTCAACTCCCCTGTCTGCAGTCCCCTGTCCGCTTCGCTCCCCTGGTCGCACTGCTCTGGCTTTTTAAAGCCTGCTTGCCTAGGTCAGGCCTGCCCCCTTCTGAGTCACACAGGGGAAGGCTGAGCCTGAGGCTAATCAGAGGCAATCAAGGGAACAATGGCAGGCTCTCAGTCCCAACTGCCACAGAAGCTGAAACTGAAACTGCTAGCACTCCCTGGAATCAGACTCAATTCACACTTCAAACTGTAAAATTCAAACAGTCAGGCACACACACACACTCACACCACAGCTTGTACTCTCACCGGGTAGCCTCTTCGGCGGTGGGGGCGCTTTGCTCTCCCTCTTCAACTCCCCTGTCTGCAGTCCCCTGTCCGCTTCGCTCCCCTGGTCGCACTGCTCTGGCTTTTTAAAGCCTGCTTGCCTAGGTCAGGCCTGCCCCCTTCTGAGTCACACAGGGGAAGGCTGAGCCTGAGGCTAATCAGAGGCAATCAAGGGAACAATGGCAGGCTCTCAGTCCCAACTGCCACAGAAGCTGAAACTGAAACTGCTAGCACTCCCTGGAATCAGACTCAATTCACACTTCAAACTGTAAAATTCAAACAGTCAGGCACACACACACACTCACACCACAGCTTGTACTCTCACCGGGTAGCCTCTTCGGCGGTGGGGGCGCTTTGCTCTCCCTCTTCAACTCCCCTGTCTGCAGTCCCCTGTCCGCTTCGCTCCCCTGGTCGCACTGCTCTGGCTTTTTAAAGCCTGCTTGCCTAGGTCAGGCCTGCCCCCTTCTGAGTCACACAGGGGAAGGCTGAGCCTGAGGCTAATCAGAGGCAATCAAGGGAACAATGGCAGGCTCTCAGTCCCAACTGCCACAGAAGCTGAAACTGAAACTGCTAGCACTCCCTGGAATCAGACTCAATTCACACTTCAAACTGTAAAATTCAAACAGTCAGGCACACACACACACTCACACCACAGCTTGTACTCTCACCGGGTAGCCTCTTCGGCGGTGGGGGCGCTTTGCTCTCCCTCTTCAACTCCCCTGTCTGCAGTCCCCTGTCCGCTTCGCTCCCCTGGTCGCACTGCTCTGGCTTTTTAAAGCCTGCTTGCCTAGGTCAGGCCTGCCCCCTTCTGAGTCACACAGGGGAAGGCTGAGCCTGAGGCTAATCAGAGGCAATCAAGGGAACAATGGCAGGCTCTCAGTCCCAACTGCCACAGAAGCTGAAACTGAAACTGCTAGCACTCCCTGGAATCAGACTCAATTCACACTTCAAACTGTAAAATTCAAACAGTCAGGCACACACACACACTCACACCACAGCTTGTACTCTCACCGGGTAGCCTCTTCGGCGGTGGGGGCGCTTTGCTCTCCCTCTTCAACTCCCCTGTCTGCAGTCCCCTGTCCGCTTCGCTCCCCTGGTCGCACTGCTCTGGCTTTTTAAAGCCTGCTTGCCTAGGTCAGGCCTGCCCCCTTCTGAGTCACACAGGGGAAGGCTGAGCCTGAGGCTAATCAGAGGCAATCAAGGGAACAATGGCAGGCTCTCAGTCCCAACTGCCACAGAAGCTGAAACTGAAACTGCTAGCACTCCCTGGAATCAGACTCAATTCACACTTCAAACTGTAAAATTCAAACAGTCAGGCACACACACACACTCACACCACAGCTTGTACTCTCACCGGGTAGCCTCTTCGGCGGTGGGGGCGCTTTGCTCTCCCTCTTCAACTCCCCTGTCTGCAGTCCCCTGTCCGCTTCGCTCCCCTGGTCGCACTGCTCTGGCTTTTTAAAGCCTGCTTGCCTAGGTCAGGCCTGCCCCCTTCTGAGTCACACAGGGGAAGGCTGAGCCTGAGGCTAATCAGAGGCAATCAAGGGAACAATGGCAGGCTCTCAGTCCCAACTGCCACAGAAGCTGAAACTGAAACTGCTAGCACTCCCTGGAATCAGACTCAATTCACACTTCAAACTGTAAAATTCAAACAGTCAGGCACACACACACACTCACACCACAGCTTGTACTCTCACCGGGTAGCCTCTTCGGCGGTGGGGGCGCTTTGCTCTCCCTCTTCAACTCCCCTGTCTGCAGTCCCCTGTCCGCTTCGCTCCCCTGGTCGCACTGCTCTGGCTTTTTAAAGCCTGCTTGCCTAGGTCAGGCCTGCCCCCTTCTGAGTCACACAGGGGAAGGCTGAGCCTGAGGCTAATCAGAGGCAATCAAGGGAACAATGGCAGGCTCTCAGTCCCAACTGCCACAGAAGCTGAAACTGAAACTGCTAGCACTCCCTGGAATCAGACTCAATTCACACTTCAAACTGTAAAATTCAAACAGTCAGGCACACACACACACTCACACCACAGCTTGTACTCTCACCGGGTAGCCTCTTCGGCGGTGGGGGCGCTTTGCTCTCCCTCTTCAACTCCCCTGTCTGCAGTCCCCTGTCCGCTTCGCTCCCCTGGTCGCACTGCTCTGGCTTTTTAAAGCCTGCTTGCCTAGGTCAGGCCTGCCCCCTTCTGAGTCACACAGGGGAAGGCTGAGCCTGAGGCTAATCAGAGGCAATCAAGGGAACAATGGCAGGCTCTCAGTCCCAACTGCCACAGAAGCTGAAACTGAAACTGCTAGCACTCCCTGGAATCAGACTCAATTCACACTTCAAACTGTAAAATTCAAACAGTCAGGCACACACACACACTCACACCACAGCTTGTACTCTCACCGGGTAGCCTCTTCGGCGGTGGGGGCGCTTTGCTCTCCCTCTTCAACTCCCCTGTCTGCAGTCCCCTGTCCGCTTCGCTCCCCTGGTCGCACTGCTCTGGCTTTTTAAAGCCTGCTTGCCTAGGTCAGGCCTGCCCCCTTCTGAGTCACACAGGGGAAGGCTGAGCCTGAGGCTAATCAGAGGCAATCAAGGGAACAATGGCAGGCTCTCAGTCCCAACTGCCACAGAAGCTGAAACTGAAACTGCTAGCACTCCCTGGAATCAGACTCAATTCACACTTCAAACTGTAAAATTCAAACAGTCAGGCACACACACACACTCACACCACAGCTTGTACTCTCACCGGGTAGCCTCTTCGGCGGTGGGGGCGCTTTGCTCTCCCTCTTCAACTCCCCTGTCTGCAGTCCCCTGTCCGCTTCGCTCCCCTGGTCGCACTGCTCTGGCTTTTTAAAGCCTGCTTGCCTAGGTCAGGCCTGCCCCCTTCTGAGTCACACAGGGGAAGGCTGAGCCTGAGGCTAATCAGAGGCAATCAAGGGAACAATGGCAGGCTCTCAGTCCCAACTGCCACAGAAGCTGAAACTGAAACTGCTAGCACTCACCTGGAATCAGACTCTCAATTCACACTTCAAACTGTAAAATTCAAACAGTCAGGCACACATACACTCACACCACAGCTAGTACTCTCACCGGGTAGTCTCTTCGGCAGTGGGGTCGCTTTGCTCTCCCTCTTCAACACTCCTGTCTGCAGTCCCCTGTCCGCTTCGCTAATCATACATTGACTAATCAGAATAAAGTGCTTTTTAATGAGCTACAGACCAACAACTGCTCATAGTCATCATTCAGCAAGTATTTGAGAAGAACTGGAACATTAGAATCATAATCAGGAACAACGCAGGAACAGTAATTGCAGAGGAGTCATGTTACCCTAGCAACTCCCCATGTTGCCTTGAGAAGATGAAGCACCAGGTACCAGGAGAGGTGGGTCCATCCCAGGACCCAGTCAGGCAAGGAGAGTGGAAAGCACTGGGTAAGAGTGGTTGGGTCAGGTTGGTCAGTTTCCCCCTTCCCTGTGTGAGAGAGGGATGTGTGTGTGTCACCTCTCCCTGTGCAAACCTTAAAGATAAGAAGGTAAATAAAAAGACTCCAGCTAGACAATATTTCCTTTTAACAGGGGCTCAGTCAACTTGATGTTAGTTTGAACTTTTGTATTGCATAG